TCAAGGGAACTCTGTTTGGGCCACATTATCTATAAAGGGGAAGAAAGAGAAAGAAATATTTATTGGAATCCTTACTACCCTGGCAGTAGAGAATAAATTAAATTCTGGAAGAACTCAGTGATCATCTAGTGAGAGTATTCTTTAATACTAGAGTTCAAAATTAATGATGAAATAAAACACCAATTGGAAAACTGTCTATGTACCAACATCATTCAGTATAACTAGCAACAGCCACTAAACCCGGTAGGAATTTTTGGTGATATATGCAGCAACGAGTGTGGGTGTCTAAGTGTGGGCTTTACTAATCTCTCTACCTAACTACAGTTTATGAAGGAAAACCTCACTTTGCCACATTAGTATTTTTGGACAGAAAAACATTTAACTATCTAGATCTCAGGCTCTCAGGCTGCTCTAATCCACACAACTCCTTTGGAAATCAATTCAGGAGCAATCCAAAGGACAAATCAGGAGAGGAATGCCCTTTTTTTGGCAGGTAAACTGCAGAGGGCAAAAGATGGAGAAGGCTGGGGATTATAAAAGAGGGCATGCATCGTAATGGAGAAAAGCACTGAGGGGGATGAATAGTACTAACACATTTTGGTCTTAGTTTAAACTGCACTACAAAATTTAAAATCTTATCCATACTGCTTGAAGACCACTCTCCTCACCACCCCCTTTAATTCTAGGCTTCATTCCCTTCCCCACATTAAAACCTCCTCCCTTTACCCATGTTGTGGCTGCCAGCATATATCTGCACTTTCAATTACAAGAAGTCTAAATGCTGTGTAAAAAACATAAGAATCTCCTGTACAACAGCAACAACCCTCCCACAGAACACCAAGTTATACCTCTGAGCTTCTCTTTCCAACTACTATCCTGTCATCTTCTCAAATAACTAACTTTACCAGATTTTGAAAGTGCAATACAAGGAACCTGAACAGATTTCATCATGTTTTATACTTAATGGTTTCAACATTCGTTTTTTGGAAGCCATGTCTTTAATGCATGCAGTGTTTTATGCCTATACAGAAAAGCACTGTGAAGTGAAGACTGGAAAAAATGAATCATTGTCCTATGATTTGCCTGATCCAGGCCCAATTTCCTTGGGTTTCAAATATATTAAGTTCCACTTCTGGCAGTTTAAGTTGTCATTTAACTAAGTCCCAGTGGACAGAACTGTAGCTTTTCTTTATCCTTGTCAAAATGAGCTATAGCTCTAATTGATTATTTAAATAGTTATTAAGTGTAGCATATTGAAACAACATGAAAGAGATACTAGATTGTATGAGCATAACAAACTTGTTTTTTAACTGTCACTACTATATGCCACGTACTTAGATACCTGCAATTTTAGCCTATAATCTACTAAAGGAATTTTACTGAAAAAAAGCTCCATTGACATCAGATGGATAAAGGTTAGGATTTTGTCATATGGAATACTGGTATCAAATTCCATGCCAAACTTTGCTTATGTTAAGCTCAGAATATGAAATTATTTTTTAAAAACAAAGGTTCCTCCCAGAACACTCGGTACATTTTCATAGTACAGGCATCAGACCTAATTCGTATTAGGACCAGAATATGGATAAAAATTCCAATAAGCAGCCTGATTTGGACATCAAGAAAGCAAGAACTATGTAACAGAGAAGGTGGTTAAGAAAAAAATAATCACTGAAATTAAACCAGTGAAGTAAAGTGTTTGCAAAAATTGTTTCTGCTGTTTCAGCAAGTTATACAGTATAAAACCTAGCCCCAGTAGGCATTATATATTTTGAAGAGCAATTTCCACTCCCAAATGAGAACATTTTGAAGGAGGGAGGGGACTGCATTATTCCCTTGAAGCAAATCTGGGTTGCTGGATTTCAGCAAAATTCTGTTTCATTCAAAGTTTGAAAACAAATAAAATAGTACAATTACAAACAGAGAAGCAGGGCTGGAAGGGGCCTCCTGAGGTCTAATCCAACACCCTGCCTAAGGCAGGCTCATCCCTGTCCAAACCATCCACTGTCTAATTTACTAGCAAACAACCACAAGGCATAACACTGTAATCTGTCACAGTTAAAGGGGAACCATTGCAACCAACCATCCTGCTGCTGCAAAGGTAGTCAAGATATGCTCAAGAGGTCCAAGGAAGGTGGTCACGTAAAAATCCCCCCAGTCTGGACCACAGGAGAAAATTCTTTCCTGACTCCAAATATAATGATTGGTCCAACTGTGAGCAGAAGGGAAGACCCTCTATCCAGGAACCTCCAGGTTTAAGTCCCATAAAAAGTAGTGGCACACTCCAGCCAAAATACCAAGCTTTGGCTACAGCCACTATGCAATACTTCTGAGGAAGACTTTAAAACAAGTAAACAAACAAACCCTGATGCACACAGCAGCAAGAAGAAAAAAATCCCTCCTGGCCCCAGGTGGCAACCAACAAAGCCCAGAAACAGGGAAAATACCCACAGAAAACCATAGGTACCATAGGTATAGCTACTCTTAGATCATCCCTGACCACTGCCTATCCAGCTTCTTCTTGAACACCTCCAGTGATGGAGAGTCCACAGCTTCCCTAGGCAGTCGACTGCCTCACTGTTCTAACAATAAAGATTTTCCTGATATCCAATTTAAATATACCTTGCTGCAACTTCAAGCCATTGGTCCACATTTTCCTCTCTGCATCAAGAGAGAAAAAGTGTTCTCTCCCTTCTTTATGGTAGTGCTTCAGATATTTGAAGACTGCTCAGCTATTCTATCCTCTCAAATGCCTTTTCCACAAGCTTTATCATTTTTGTTGCCCACTTCTGGACCCTCTCTAACTTCTCCACGTCCTCCTTAAAACGTGGAGCCCAAAACTGCACATAGTACTCTAAATCAGTGTTTCTCAACCTGTGGGTCATGACCCAAAAGTGGGTCATAAAAATATATGAAAGGGTTGCAGACAAATTAAAAAGAAAAACCAAAAAAAAACAATAACAAAAACTTAAAATGGATTCTCCTTTAAAGGAGAAAAACATGGGAAACTGTGGCTTTTCCCTTGCAGGCTGGCAGAGTTCCAGCCTGAGAGGGGCTGCTTGGGGCCTTCCCTACCCAACACACACCCACCCACTGCTCTGCACACTGGGGGGCTGGGGCCTGGGGGCAGTGGGTTGGAAATGAGGGGCACTGGGTCAGGCCTGACTCATGTTTGCAAATGGGTCCTGGTCCAAAAATGTTGAGAATCACTGTTCTAGATGAGGTGTAACTAGTGCCAAGTAAAGAGTCACTATCACTTCCTGTATTTTGAACCTAATGCTTCTATTGATGCATCTAATAACCGCATTCACCTTTTGTGCAGCTGCATTGCACTGCAGACTCGTATTGCATCAGTGATCCACCATGACTCTTAGATCCTTCTGCAGAATGTCCACACTTCCGTTTGAAATGTATTTGGGGGTGGGGGGAAGAGGGGGTCCACAAATGAAAAAAGGTTGAAAATTGCTGTTCTAGGCTATTACAGTAATAGCCTAGAACTTTTAACCAAGATTGAATCCCCAGGGTGCTTAAAACACATAGTAAGCAAGCTGCCTTTGCCCTGAAGAGCTTTCATTTTAAATTTAATAGAGTATATTAGGAAGCATCAAAGTGATTTTATTAGTGTAAGTTTGTTTCAAGAGGTTAAGGACCGAAGATGTTTTCAGCCAAACCAAAAATAAATCTACCATATTTACCCAAATATGGCAACTTTGAATTTAAGACAACCCCCTCAATAATTATATTCTACACATGGAAAGTTACAAATTTCTTATAATTTTCCACGTATAGAATCTTATTACTAAAGATGAGGGGGGGTCATCTTAAATTTGTCCACCCCACCACTGAGGCAAGAAAACTTGGGGGGAGGGCAGCAGCCAGACCCTCTACCCTTTCTCCACCTCCTGTGTCTGTGCCTGTTCCTCTTCTGCCTATTCCATGCAACCACTTGCCCACTCTGCTGCCTGTCCCCCCCGCCCCTTATCCCCCCACTGCATGCCCTTCTGCGGCAGCTCTAGCTCCGGGACAGTCGGCAGTGGTAGCAGTCCCAGCCTGGTCCAGCCAAGCACAAGTAATGGCAGCAGCTCTGGGCCAGGCTGGGGCCACAGCAGAAGGTAAGTGGTAGAAGAAGGAAAGATGGGGGGGTGGGGAGGCAGGCTGTATGTTCTTTCCTGTGCTCCCCCCTGCACTGACTTTCACACCATGGATTTCCCTCACATACACCCACCATCACATGGGCTCCACCTCACATATCTTTCCCACTGGTCTCCCACAGGCACACTCCCCCACTGCACAGTCTCCCCTGTTGCACACCCCTGCCCTACAGCACAAGCCACCTTACTCTGGAGCAGGCAGCTCCGGCTTCACTCAGAGCTGGGGCCACAGTAACTGCAGCCAGTCTTGGATCCAAGACAAATTCTGCCCCGCCCCTCTGATGTTGACTGGGGAAAGTAAGTTTATCCTGGGTTTGAGTAAATGTATAACAAGAGAAACATTCGGCTTCAACCAAGTTCCTGATAAATGTTGGTTTGTGTCACACAAAATGCAACAGTTTGAATAGTGATCAGAAAAAAACAGGTACTGTAGCTAGAGACTCAGATGAATATGGCAGACCTGTGTGAATAAGGGCTCAATCATGGAAGATACTGAGAAACCACACCAACAAGTGAAGTCAGTGGAAATTTAAGACGCCCACCTTGTCAAAGGCAGCTGTCGGAAAATTTGCAGAGTGCCTTTATGCACTAAATATGTTTCTAAGCCAATAGTATTATTCCTCTGTTTTCATAAGCGCTCCCTCAAAATTACTTTTTAATTTATTTTGAAGAGGAAAAAGCTGATGTATATTCCTTCAGGGATATTATTCTCTTATTTATATGGCTCCTTAGCATTTAAGATCTGTTCTGATAATGAACCATTTAGTGGTCAGATTTGTCTTTGTTCAGCTTACTGGATGTTACATTTAATGCACTACCCGAAGATTATTTGAGTAGATACAGTCTTACCAGTAGAGAAAATGAGAACAGTGTTGTCCCAAAGGCCATAACTCTTTAGGGCTGCAGTGAGGTTACCTACAGCTTCATCCATAACAGATACCATTCCTGCATACTGGCGCCTTTTCTCATCTTTAATGAAGTCATATTGTTTCATGTATTCCTCAGGAACCTGAAGAGGTTCATGAACAGTCTGAAGAGCAAGGTAGAGAAAGAGAGGCTGGAAAAGAAAAGTTATGTAAATTAGGTGACAGTACCTAAACAATACATGCAAAAATTGCAAAAGTAAGCAGGCCCAGATCTAACAACCAACTGATCTTTTGTTTTCCTTCTGATTTATGTCTTGTAATTTCTAAGCATAAGGTATCTCCAGTCTGGGAAAGATTTTTGTTAGCCACTGAAAACTGAAAAATCAGCATCTCTTTTCCAGTATACTGGTTGGGTTGTTTTGTTTTGTTGTTTGTTTGTTTGTTTGTTTTGGGGGGGAGGTAGTTTGTTTTATTAAATATACCAAAGGTAAAAACTATACAAATTCTCAAAAAAGCAAAAAAACACAACACAAATCCTCCAAATAGGGTACCATATAGCTATGCATCTGCTAAGAAATCACACTATGAACACAAAACTTAAAAACACTTAACATCAGCAAAACCTTTACATACAAACAAAATAAAATACCTCATAAACCAATTACAGCATCATATTTCCATAAACTAACAAAACATCAATTTTTTCAAGACCCCATCAGTCCCATATAATCACATATGTAGACAACAATTTTATCCCATCTCCATCAACCACCATGTCACCCTTTTCTTCCTCTGTTTCTGCGTTAAATCCCAGCCTCACCCAATTCCCATTGGTTCGAACAAGACTCCAAATAACATTTTTCCATTCCCTTATTACTTCCCCATCCTGACTTTCCCCACCTTCATGCCCCATATATCCCCTCATCTCATAATAACCCAATTGCAAACTTTCCCATACTGTCAAACACAAACCCTTAAAAACTAGTAAACACCTCACCTTCCATAGTGCCATCCTCACCCCATCAAAAATACCCTAACCTCCAATTCCTGAATTCACCCTTTCACCAATGCATACATTACCTTCCCACACAACCCAAGCCCCTCAAAAAAATTCCTACACATCCCCACACCTTTCGTACATAAAAGCACTCCCAAAATATGTGGTGAATTGTTTCCTCCCTACAGCATAACTCCCTCGAACAGTTTGCCAACTGTACCAAACCCCACCGGTTTTGTCTCCCTCACCATTAGAACCCTCCTTACCACCCTCCATGCTCATTCCCTGTGCTCCACCCTCCACCTTTTATCCACTACCCCTTTTCCAATGTACTGGTAACAAAACTAGCTTGTTATAATCTTCCTGCTATTCTATCTACCCTCCTAGGCTAGGGACAGAAGTTGCACATAAACCGGGTTAAGGGGTCAGAAACTCGTTTAAACTTGTAACAGAACAGAAGTTCAGTACACATAAACCAGTTTCAATATGGCTGAAACTGGTTAAAGATAAAGCTGGTTGAAGGTAGTATCAGACTTACCTGATTTGGGTCAAACCAGTTTATGAAACTTCTGTCCCAGACCCCTTCCTGGTTCAAGTTAAATCAGCCCCCCAGCATGCCAACATGCTTTCCAGCCCTGGGCTGGGCTATCCTGTCTGCTCTAGAGGGGGTCTGCCACCAGGCAAACTCTGGCTAGGATCTGGGGCCAGGAAGCGGGGTTAAACCTCTCTTCCCCAGTTAAAACCCCCTTCCCCCAAGTACAGAGCTGCCTTGGTGCCAAACTTACTGGAAGTTACTGCTGGCTGCAACTGTGAGCTACAAATCCCAGAGGCACCTGGAAGCAGGAAGAAGTGATGAGAAACCCTGCAAAGTCCTACTTATGTGATGCTGGACTGCAAATCCCAGAAACCTCAGGGCAGTAGGAAGAGGAAGTGCCAGAGAGACATGCTCTTGTGCCCCCTGGCTTCTGACCTGAGTCACTGCAGGCATGTGGCTCCATTGCCTGAATCAAAGGTAAATGTCTGTCCAGTTGTTTCTCAGTTTAATCTTTTCAGTCTTTGCAGGTTAATCAAGCTGCATCGATTCAGCCTCGGGCATTTTCACTGTACTTAGCCCTACTCTCCTTTCAGAACCACATGCAACTCTGTTTCTATAAATACATCTGCTCTGATTTGAAATACTGTGAAGTTGCACAAGTCTGTAAGTCATCAAAAGGCAAACTGTGAACATTAACAGGATTTAGGTAGGAAATCAGAACCCGCATCTCATTTATATAAAATACAATTGTATTTTGTCTCCAAAATGCCTATTAGCAATGATGATATTTGCCATGAAAAGTTTCTTTACATTTTCCTGCTGTAATACACACCTACGACTTAGTTTAAGAGCTTATTAAGAGACCAAAGAAGGCAACAGATAATTTCACTTCCACAGCTGTTTTTACAATAGGATTTCATAGTTAAAATGTAGTTTCTTGACTAGTCAGTAATTCTTATCTATGATGAATTCTTTGTGCAAATTTTGTTAACAAATACATCCAAAATGTTATAGCCTTTAATTATGATCCATAAATGCATATGCAAAAGGGGAATCAAATTAAAGTCTATAGTAGGAGAAAAGACTGGATTCTGAAAGTCTTCCTGTAATCTAATTTTAATAGAACTTCAAGATCGCTTTTTATAACATGCAAGATATTTTACAGTTAAACACAGTGCATCTTTCAAAGGAAGGATATTCTAAAGAAGAAAGCATTCCTTAGCTATTAAGTCTATTTGAATGACTTACAAAGGGAGAAGATGCTCCCTTTATATGAAGTAGAGGCCTATTAATAATTTTCCTCTAGCAGAAGTTAAGTTCTTTTTTCCCCATGAATCCCATCTTCTGCTACATTATGTTTCTCTTCTACAAGTCTTTTTAAAGTCTTTCACAAACTATGGTATATGACAATATCAATGTTGAACTTTCTCAGGTGTCCCAATGCAGTACCATCCATTTCTATTTGCAGCACTTACCTAACTATACACTTCTCTGATCTAGATCTCTTGTAACGGATCAATTGCTCTTTTACAAAACATTGCTATTACAGAAGTTCTTGGTCTATATTCATTGTCTTATTTAAACCGTACTTTTTATTTTCTATGAAAACAAGCAAAAGACCACTTACTTGGATACTAGTGTGAAGAACCTAGATGCACAGCTACCTGTCAATATGACCCTGTATCTTCTACAGATTAATACTGCATCAATATTGTTATAATCAAAAAAGTTGCCCATTGTACCTTTTCAGTCTTATGGCTGGCAATAAGATCAATAGCTCTTTCTGTAAATACACGAGCGGAGTACTTGTTTTTAAATTCAGCTGCAACTTCTTCCCCATCTCGAAAATCAAGGGCACAGCGTGTTACATTCTTTGCACTGATGAATACACAATGCTCATGAGAATAATAATCTTCACTTCCAAGAAGATAGCCTAGAGCAGGAAAATAAAATAAAATGATCAGATCAACATAATACCACAAAGAAGTAAATAGTTAAAATATGCTCAGAAGGTCCTAGGAACTGAACCAGGTCCCATGCTCCAAAGGAAAACAAAATCCTACAATCCTAGTCACTCTGACCTTTTCTGACTTCACATTTAGTAACCTGTTTGACCCTGAGCTGAAAAGCTATACCCCTCTAGTCATGCATCAGTAAGGTTTCTAGATACCAGTACACTTCAGTCAATGTGCACAATGTGTCTAAAACTTCACCCCTCTGGATAACTAGAAAGCTTCTTTTAATTCCCAATTAAAATTCATTCATAATCTGCCTATAGCCATGTGATCTTATGTCAGTGTTATATTTTTAGCATAAGCAGCTCTTCTTCCTCTGCAATTTTCACCTTGAAGATATATTTAAGAAAATAAATCGTCTCTCTCCAGATCTTTATTTTACTATGCTAAACAAGTCAAGCTCCTTCAGTCTTCTTTCATAGGATAAGTTCTCCCTTCCCTTAACCATGTTCCAGTTTGTACCTGTTTCAATTTTAAGTTAATTTATTTTGAACACTGATGACTAAAACCATACATAGTATTCTAAAGGTGGGGGGGGGTCTTACCAATGCCTTGAACAGTGATAACAGTAACTCCTTGTCAATATCCCACCTAAAACACCTTAAAATAACTTTGCAGGGGTTTAGGTTGTAGCCGTGTTGGTCTAAGGACATAGGCAGACAAGGTTCCTTGGGTGAATTTGATATCTTTTATTAGACCAACCCAAATGGTTGGAGAATAGTTATTAAGCAAGCTTTCGGGTTCAAAAACCCTTCGTCAGGCTAAGGAAGCTTCAGCAGTTGGTGTGTGCTCTTCCTGGATGGAATGCTTTTTTCACTAATGCACCACACTGCTGGCTTTTGGTCATCCTATGGTCAAATATATTCAGATCCCTCTCTTCATCAAGTCGTCTCCAATCTATAAGCCCTCATATGACTGTCCAAGTCCTTGTTTTAGGCCAGGAAGTATATGACTACACTTCATACTATTAATCTTCATATAATTTGTAATGAACTTTCTATGATCAAGTAACAAACTGCTTAGGTGTGGGAGATGCAGTTGATGTCATATATTTGGATTTTAAAAAGGCCTTCAATATGGTTTCCCAAGACACTCTTATAAAAAGACTGGAGGACTGTGGGCTGGCAGAGTCCACCATCAAATGGGTTGGGAACTAGATGAGGGGTGTTAGTGGATGGGTCTGTATCATCTTGGCAGGAGGTGGGCCAGTGGTGTCCCGCAGGGTTTGGTTCTTGACCCCATGCTGTTTAACTACTTTATCAACAATTTAGATGAGGATGTAGAAAGCATGCTGGCCAAGTTTGCAAGTGATGCTAAGTTATGGGGAAAAGTGGAAAAGCTGGAAAGATGGATGGAGCAGAACTGGATGCAGTTCAATAAGGATAAATGCAAAGTGCTTCATCTGGGGAGAAGTAACCTGCAACATGAGTATAAGTTAGGAGGAGACGTCTTGGCCAGCACAATGGCTGAAAGGAACCGTGGGGTTCGAGTTGATCACAAGATGAACATGAGCTGCCAATGCAATGCTGTAGTCAACAGAGCTAATAGCATACTGGGATGCATTAGCCAATTCATTGTGGGCAGGGCTAAGGAGGTGATACTTCCTCTCTAGTCAGCATTGGTGAGATCCCAGCTGGAGTACTGTGTCCAGTTCTGGGTGCCACAATTCAAAAGAGCCATGGAGAATCTTAAGAAGATCTAGAGAAGGGCCACATGAATGATCAAGGGCCTGGAAGACAAACTTTATGAGGAAAGACAAGGGATCTGGAACTGTTCAGCCTGGGGAAGAAAAGACTGGGGTAGGGGGGCCTGGTGGCCCTCTATAAGTATGTAAGGGATAAATATCAGGAGCTGGGAGAAAAAACTGTTTACATTCCCCAGGGGAAGACAAGGAGCAATGGCCATAAGCTGTTAGAGGATGGTTTTAGGTTGAATGCAAGGAAGAACTTATTTACAGTAAGGATGACCAGAGTCTGAAATAGACTTCCCAAAGAGATGGTGCAATCCCCAATGTTGGAAGTCTTCAAGAGGAGACTGGACAGACACTTTGCTGGAACTTTTTGATCTCAGCAGTATTCCTGCCCAGAGCAAGGGGGTTGGACTCAAGCTTTCAAAGCCCTCTCCAGCCCTTAATTTCTATAATTTCTATGAACCACTCCACAAAATAACTAAAGTCACCTTGTATAATAATCCAGACCTCTTCCATTTTGGCAGTACTCCCACTTAATGTCATCTACAAATTTCATGAGGACACATCTGGTTCCTGCACCAAGATTGCTCATAAAGATGTTAAACAGGAAAGGTCTTACAACAGATCCCTGGGGAATACCATTAATATCAGACCAGAAGCAGTTAAGTCACCTTTCAGGATAACATACTGTAGTCTCCTTTTTAGGCAATTCCTTTTCCACTTCATTACTGAAGTACAGGTGTTCTAAGATCATAAATGATATTGAAGTCAAGCTAACAGGGGTCTATAGTTTCTTGGGCCACTCTGTCTCACTTTTTGGAAGACAGACACCATATTTGCTGTTCTCTAGTCATATGGTACTATCCCTAAGTTGACACGTTCTCTGAAGATTCATGCTGCAGGGAGTTTCTATATTCTGGAACAGAGTTCATTCACGGCCACACAATTTTGTGACAATAAACATTTTAAGTTTGGCATCCACCTCAAATGTGTTAATTTCCATATGCAGGCAAGCTTCTTTGGGTAGATATGATATCTTTTATTAGACCACCTGAGAAGTTGGAAAAAAGTTATTTGCAAGCTTTCGGGCACAAGCATCCTTCTTCAGGCATAGGGAGTCTCTGCGGTTCCGAGATCTCCAAGAATGAAAGAAGCTAAAAGTGTGAAGGATGTCAGTGAGAATGTAAATAGGTGGAAATTAGGAAAACAATGGAGAGAAAAGGGAAGTGGGGGGAACGAGGGGGAAATAATGCAAAGGTAAGTAAGAGACACTCTACTGTAGTTGAGTTCTCCAAGGTAGAAAAGAGGCAGTCTGTGAAAAAATAAATTATTTTTTATATATTAAATAAATGGCTGGAAATTAGGAGGACAAAGGGTAGAAAAGGAAGGGAGGGAGGGGAGGAAGGGAGGGAAAAAAGTGTAAATGGTAAGTTCAGGCAGGTACCTGGTGAATCAGATGTCAGACAGGTTGTAATGTGTCATAAATCCAATGTTTATATTGAGTCCATGATTTTTTGTATTCAGTAGATTTATGAAGTGAAATCTGTAGGCTCATCTACAAAAGGTGTTTTGTAAGTTCCATTTGAGGATTGGAGCTGAGAGATCAGAGGGATTGATTGTCTTGTGGGAAGTGTGCACCCACAGGTAATTGGATATTTTGTTCTGGAAAGATCTCTTTAAGAATTGGGTTTCTTCTAGCACGAGTTCCAATTGTTTAAGGATTTTCCATGTAGGTTTCAGGAAAGGTGGTATGTCGTAACTAATGGCATGTGATTCGTAGGGATTTTCTTTTTGTACTGCAGCAAATCTTCACATGGTATCCAGGTGTCTCTTTCAAAAGTATGATCTCTCTCTCTTAAGGAGTGCCCTTATTGGGTGAAGGCCCTTTTGAGATTTGTGAGGTGGTGATCACATATCTGTGCCACTTGATATCTAACCATTATCATAAATTACATCATAATCTTTATTGAAGACTGAGTCATGATTTGGACTTATCTAGGTTATACTTGATCTTCACTGAGTTATCAAGGTATAGTATTCCCACTTCTCTCCTGCTTCTCAATTTATACTGAAGACGTTTTTATTATTATATCCTTAAGAAACAAAAACTCATCAATGATGTTGGTCACACACATATTATTCCTGTATTCTGTGACTACAGAAAGATACCGCACCTTCCCAATCAATCTCTACTAGACCCTCCGCTTATTTTCAATAGCTATTTTCCAAAGCTTGTTCATCCAGGCAAGCAGCAGCCTCTCCTTACCAATTTTCTCGTTTTGTTGGAGAGGCAGAGTCCCAGTGACATTTGAATTTTTGCTTCCAAAACAATCCTGGGCTGCTTCTACATTTGCCTTTCAAATCCTGAAGACTTCCTCAATTAATTGCTTTAGTTTCTCAAAATTAGCACCTTTGAAGTCCAAACCCATTGTTATAGACCTATTCTTTTCTGTCCTGCAATTTAAATTGAAGTGAATCAACTCATGATCACTTAATATATGACTAGTTTCATAACCAGTTCTTCTATAGTCTTCATTATTTGCCAAAACTAGGTCTAAGATAGCTCTGCCTCTTTTTGGTGCAGGAAATCAATGATACATTTTTCTAAGTTATCTCTTCCAAAAATATCCAAATCTTCCCATTATAGGTATCATTTGCTATCCAGTCTCCCACAATAACACTAATTTCCACTATTACTAAATTCTCTCAAGACATTAGATCTCTTAGACATACCCTTTTTCCAAGTCTGAAGCTGGGAATCTATAACAAATCCCCAATACAATCCCTTTCAGGCCTATTTTACTATTCCCTGTTATTGAGATTTTAACTTAAATATTGTTTTCCCTAGGCCATCACATTTTATTTTCTTGAAATCTATCATTTCACTCATAAACAGTGCTACCCCATCACTGGTTAGTCTTATTTCTGTCCTTCCTAAAGTGTATGTATGTTTTAATGCCTGTATCCCAGTAATAAATAGCTTCTGTTCCACTATTTTTCCACTATTCCTATTATGTAGATTTTTGTGTCCCATACTAGAAATCCCAGTTTCTCTGCTTTATTACTCAGACTCCTTAAATTGATACACAGATATTTTAGCTGTTTCCATCTTTCCTGCTTGGCCACCTCTTCATTTACCCATTTATCCCCCTGCTATGCATTTATTCCCATCATAGAGATTTTGTAAATTTCTTGCAACCTTCTCTTCTGAGCTCCTACTTTAAGGTT